AAGCTGGAGATGGAGATGGAGGCAGCACGCCATGAGCACCAGGTTATGCTAATGAGGCAGGGTAAGTATAGGCCTGTAAGTAGTGAAACTAGAATAAATATCACATGTCATTTTTTGTTCAGTAATTTCTTTGTCTCTCAGTAGAAAAAAGACATTTCTGCTTTTGTTCCCTGAAATACTTTGTTGATTCTGATAGGGGGTGGATTTGGAATACTAAATGGATTGTATGAAGAATAAAACAACAAGGTTTGAGTTCACTTGATTGGTCGTTCTTGGATTATATATTGTCTTAGTTAAGGTTTGATTGCTGGGCAGTGGTGGTGCATGCTTTTAATCCCAGCATTCAGGAGGCAAGGCAGGCGGATCTCTGTGAGTTTGAGGATAGCCAGGACTACACAGTGAAACCTTGTCTCAAAAAACCAAAGAAAACAAACAAAACACCATGATCAAATGCAACTTGAGGAGGGAAAGGGTTTATTGTGTCTTAAAGTTACAGATAACAGTCCATCATTGAGGGAAGCGAGGGCAGGAAGTTAAGTAGGGCGGAGACCTGGAGGTAGGAAGTGATGGAGAGTGTTAGGTGCTCCTCATGGCTTGTCCACCCTGCTTTCTTTCTCTTTTTTTTGTGTGTGGGGGGTTTGTTTGTTTGAGGCAGGGTCTCTCTGTGAATCCCTGCCTGTCCTGAAACTAGTTCTGTAGACCAGGCTGTCATTGAACTCAGATCCACCTGCCTCTGCCTCCCGAGTGCTGGAATTAAAGGTGTGTACCACTATGCCTGGCTCACCTCCCATGAGCTGGGCCATTCTACATCATTCAAGAAAATGCACTATAGGCTTGTCTGCCGACCAATCTCAATTGAGGTTCCCTCTTCCAAAATGACTTTATAGCTTGGGTCTAATCAACATCTTTGCTTTCTGGGTATTTATGGAAAGTTATTGTATATATGAAAAGAGAATCAGAAAGTCTCAATGTGTTGCTAGATTTGATGAGGCGTCAAGAAGAGCTTCGGAGAATGGAGGAGCTGCATAACCAAGAGGTTCAGAAACGAAAGCAGCTAGAGCTCAGGTAACTCCTTTCCTTCTTTACTTTTTAATATTTGTTTGTTTGTTTGGGGCCCTGCACATGCCCCAATGTGTGGAGGCCATAGGACAACTTTCAGAATCAATTCCCTCCTTCCACACCATGTGTACTCCTAGGGATTGAACTGCTCAGCAGCCTTGCTGCTAAGCACCTTTATCTACTGAGCCATCTCTATAGCCTTGTAACTATTTAACCTTTTTTTCGGACAACTCCAAAGAGTAATGCTCTTTTATTTCTCACCACATTCTCCCTGTTACATTCATGGTAAATCCTGGCAAGTATTTCTACTGCTTCTCATGTTCTCCCTTTGGGTAGATGTTTGAGCTGCGTTGGTTCTAGGAATTGCCTTAGGGCTTCACTAAAGGGAAAGAGCTGGGTGCTGGTTTCTTGATTCCTTTGGGTGTTGCCCTTGTACTTGGCAAGCTGTGCTGGTTTTTGGTAGGCTTGTCTCTTTGTGTTAATATTCTTTTTATTCAAGTAATCTGTTCATGTTCTGGAATGCTTTTATCTGTCTTAAAATACCTTGGTAACTCTATAGGCAGGAAGAGGAGCGCAGGCGCCGTGAGGAAGAAATGCGGCGGCAACAAGAAGAAATGATGCGGCGACAGCAAGAAGGATTCAAGGGAACCTTCCCTGATGCGGTATATCACCCATGTGCCCATGATGTGCCAGGCCAGTTGTGAAAGACAAAACTACCATGAAATGTCTGTTAGAATATCAGGTTATGACCAGTTTTTCTATGCTATGAAATTCCATTTAGGAAGAAAGAGACCTTGATAGGGAGGTAAGGTAAGGTTTGAAGGAGAGCTCTTGCCTTGTAGCAACTTTAGGATGAAAAGCCAGTACCACTGTTTGTTGTTCATATCCAGTGACAATAAGAGATAAATTGAGTCATGTAGCAGATTTGGCTAATCCACTGCTACCCATGTAGTTAGATGGTTTGCAGCCCCCAGAAGAAATTAACTCTTTCTTCCCCCTGTTGCCTTGTTTTGTTCCTAATAGAAAATTCTAATTTGTTACCTGAAGTCCCTGTACAAATGGCAAGAGGGCATTAGTGTGTCATCACTGTTTATGTTCTTTGTGTTATCATCAGTGGATTGTAATAGAGTAACTGTTGTCTTGGACTGTGTTGAGTTTGTATTGTTTTTCAGAGAGAACAAGAGTTACGGATGGGCCAAATGGCTATGGGAGGTAAGGACTTGACTTAAGAGTTAAATAGTTCTGGTTGCCTTTGGGGGTGGTGGGGAGAAAGGATAGTTAAAGAATAGAGCAGCAGGTATCCAGTAACCAAAGAACTGCCTGCCTGTCCCCCCACCCCCAGTGTTGGCTGGCCACTTGCTATGATCTGCCTGTCTGCCTCACAAGGCCCTGCCCAGCTCTTTTTTTCTCTCTCTAGACAGGATCTTACTATGTAGCTCTGGCTGTTGCTATTCTGGAACTCAGTGTGTAGACCAGGCTGGTCTTGAACTTACAGAGATCCACCTGCCAAATGCTGGGATTAAAGGCGTGTACTGCCATGCCTGACTTTTTTTTTTTTAATGTGGGAGTCTAGGATTTAAACTCAGATCCTCATACTTGCAGAGCCTAATTTCTTTCTTTCTTTTTAAATCTGATCTCTATTGAGTTATGGAGCTTCTTCCTAGTCCACATTTAAATGACTTGACATTTCCAGGAACATTAGGGCTTTTAGGGTGGGAGTAGGTGATTCTACTGAATTGTTTCTTGGTAGGGGAAGAGACTGATAATCTCTCCCCTATGCTGATCATACTATTCTGCTTTAGGTGCTATGGGCATAAACAATAGAGGCGCCATGCCCCCTGCTCCTGTGCCAACTGGTACCCCAGCTCCTCCAGGACCTGCCACTATGATGCCAGATGGAACCTTGGGATTGGTAATAAACTGCAGGGCCTCATAATAACTGTAAATAGTGATAGGAGGAGCTTCTCAACCCCTCTGGGGTCTGATTTTTGTGCATAGGGGTGTGTGTGTGTGTGTGTGTGTGTGTGTGTGTGTGTGTGTGTAAGTGTGGCTAGATGTCAACTGCTTGTGTCATTCCTCAGGAGTCATCCATGACCTGGAACTTGCCAATTAGGCTAGGTTGACTGGTCTTTAACACTGGATGCTGGGGAATTAAACTTGAAGGACAGGTACTTAACTTGACTAAGCTATCTGCCCAGCATCTGCTACCTGAGTTTTCTTTGATTTTGTTACAGGTACAGATTTTTAGGATAATTGGTATACATAAAATATAACCTAAGATGTTTAGGGGGTGGTGAGGAAGATTGAACCTAGGATCTGATGTATGTTAGGCAAGTGTTGTCTCACTATTCCGTGTCCCTGGTCTTTTAGTTTGTAATCTTGAGAAAATTCAATACCAGATGCTATTTTAACCTTGGAGTTAAACAATAGCCTCTGTCTGGCTGTCCCATTGATTGATTGTAAATCGTTATCCTCAGTAAACAAGTTGCTTTATGTTTGTTTTGTTGGTTTTTGGGTTTTTGAGACAGGATCTCTGTACTCCTAGTTGTCCTGGAATTCAGTATGTAGAACAGGCTGGCCTTGAACTCACAGAGATGCTCCTGCCTCCTCTACCTTCCAAATGCTTGCACCACATTGCCTGGCCAGCAGGTTGCTCTTTAGAGGGAGAAGTCAAGGAAGCTTAGCTATTATTATGTATAATGGATGTGAATTCAGGGGCCTCATGGTTTATAAAGTTCAGAAGCTGTTCTGGTTCAAATGTCAAAATGGAATAGACTATGGAGAGACTTAAGGTTGCTACAGAAATGATAGCCTGTTCTTCCTGACTAAGGAAAAAGGACTTGGATAGAACCTATTCAAGTAGGAATTTCAATTGTATATATATAATATGGATAAAAAGCTAAATTATGAAGCTGTGACTAGTACAGCCTTCTGTTCCTCTCAAGTTTCTCCCCTAGAACTCTAAGCAGACTTGGGTACCTTGCCCTTAACAGTCAGGAGTCTTGACCAGTTAAGTAGAAATGGCCTGTAGTGGGAAGACCATAGAAAAGCGGAAAGTTGAGGACAGACACACTATTGTAACATTGTTCTTTTTCTCTTTTAAGACCCCACCAACAACTGAACGTTTCGGCCAAGCTGCTACAATGGAAGGAATTGGAGCAATTGGTGGAACTCCTCCTGCATTCAACCGCCCAGCTCCTGGAGCTGAATTTGCTCCAAATAAACGCCGCCGATACTAAATAAAGTTGCAGTGTCTAGTTTCCCGCAACCCTTAAAAGAAAGGCCCTTTTTGGACTAGCAAGAATTCTACCCTGGAAAAGTGTTAGGGGTTTTCCCAATAGATAGGTCTTCCCTGCCTGTACTACTCTAGGGAGTATGCTTGGAGGCAGAGGGCAAGGGAGGGGTGGTAGTTAACAAATCAAAGTCTGTGGTATATTGCTTTATCAAGGCTGTCTGGTGCATTCCTGAAGTGTGTTGATTGTTGAGGGACTGGAGAACCATAGCAAAATGAACTCAGAGAGCTCCATTAATCTTGACCATTCCTGTTTTCTTCTTCCTTTGTCCATCATGTTTCATCTTTATTCCCCTCAACCCCAGAGACACTGCCATATATACCACAAAACCTAAACATCCTCCAATGACCTAGCCCAATTCCTCCATTCACTCCCAGGTGAGAATTCAGACACATGTCCACAGAGGTTACAGCATACATACGGTTCTGTTATATCTCATATATAACCCCTTCATGTCCTAAGGAAGACATTTTCTCTTAGAGGTTTTCATTTTAGTATATATCTTTAAAAAATAAGTCTTGTGTTAACTTGCCTCCATCTTTTTCTTGGGTAAGATGTGCTCAAGAATGAATGACCTTTTGTGTCTATGATATTGCTGTTCACAGCTTTTCTTGATAGGCCTAGTACAATCTTGGGAACAGGGTTGCTGTGTGTTGAAGGTCTGACAGTAGCTCTTAGCTTTGCCTATCTTAGGTAGTTACGCTGTGCATTTTTTATTGGTGTACTATGTTTGATTTGTTCCTGATACCTTCAATTTGAAATTTTTCTGAGAAATGGAGCAGTAATGCAGCATCATCTTATTAAAATACATTTGAAGCCTTTTAATTTTCTGTGCTGTTTTTTGAAGGGGAAGGGAGGGGAAGAAATTCTGTCTTGGGAGATGCATACAGTAGACTGCATAATGGTGATCTTTGTTACCTTTTGAAATAGTAAACATTAGATGGGCAGGAGAAGGTGAGATGCAAGGTAGAGTGGCTAGGATCAATGCTGTTGGCACTACAGGTAATGGCAGTGGCAGGCAAGCTATTCCAAATGCAGAAAATGGTGGAGTTATATCCATACCACAGAGGGAGGGGGGATCTTAATTAGCATTTTGTTTCTGAGCAGCTGCTGGTATGTCAGAGGCTTGGAATTGGCAACATCTAAAACTGCTGTAGTTACTGACCTCACCCAAGTTCCAAGGGCTCTTCTTCCTGATCCCTTTTTCCTGAGCCTCAGAGCTAAAATACTCTGGAGCACTTTCCTATTGGCTGAGAAGACCAATTGAAGTTCCCTTGCCCATGTTTGGAGGTGGACGCCTCCTGCACTAAAGATAGAAACAGCTGGCTCTTCTAGGCAGCTAAAAGCCTCCAGACTAAGAGGTGTTCCTCACTCTGAAGCCAGACTCCTTGAAATACCCTTTGAGTAAGCTCGATCAACGCCTCCATGTCTCTGCTCTGCCATAACAAAGGCTGTGGGCAACACTTTGACCCCAATACCAATCTCCCTGGTGAGTAAGTACTGACCTCGGGCTCTTGAGTGGGTGATAGTTGTTGAGCCGTGGGACTGGCCGTTGGGAACAAGGAGAACAAAATGGGCATAATTTAATTAGTCTGGCAGATCTTCAGTCTGATGGTTTTACTTTCCACATTGTATGAAAAGCCATTAACATGAACCTGAAGAAAATAGGAGGAGTAGTATTTGACAGTTATCTTTCCTGCCTTGATCTTTCCACTGGTATCTACAGATTCCTGTCACTATCACCCTGGGGTCCCCATCTTCCATGATGCACTTAAGGTGAGGAATAGGTGATGTTGGCCTAGCAAGAGCATTTCCCCCAAGGAAATATACCCAGGATCTAAGCTAATCAGGGTCTCTTGTTATCAGGGTTGGTCCTGCTGCCGAAAGCGAACTGTAGATTTCTCTGAGTTCTTAAACATCAAGGTAAACTCTACTTCCTCAGATTCTGCTCCCTATGGAAGAGTTCTCCTTCTAACCCTTATCTCCTTATCTGTACTAGGGCTGTACTGTGGGACAACACTGTGCTGAGAAGCTTCCTGAGGGCCCTCCACAGCCTGAGGGCCCTGCCACAAGTTCACTTCAGGAGCAAAAACCTCTGAATACAATTCCAAAGTCAGCAGAGACCTTGCTCCGAGAAAGGCCTAAGTAAAGAGACCCAGGGCTTTTTTCTATAGCCATACAGCTTCCTAGGAATTAATGGCACGCAGGGGTTTGGAAACTAGGGGTTAGAGATGTAAGGAGGGTCATGTGTTGGTTTGCATGATGTATCTTTGTCATAGAGGAAATTTGTGTCAAGAAATGCCCTTTGCTATAAGACAGTGAAAGGATGATGGAATAGATTCCTTTATTATAGGGACTAGATAGCTCCTGAAATACATGGTATGTAGCAGAGCAGTGACTAGATAACCTGTGGTTTGATTTTGTTGAGATAGGCGCTCTATGTGGCCCAGTCTTGAACTTGATCCTCTTGCCTTCCTGAAGGCTGACATTACACTACCACACCTACTTGAGAATGAAGTGATATTTTTGTTGTGCATTTTCAGTTTTTAATAATCACTTTTTAGTTAGTATAGAAAATAATGGGTTTCATTATCAAATTTTCATACATGTATCATTGCACCTTGCTCATGCCTCTCCCTCCCCCCCACACCTCTATTGATCTCTGATTTTAGAAGAACTTAATCTTACAGCTACGTGTTTTGTTGGCTCATTCCTGTAATCCCAATACTTAGAATGCTGAGTCAGTAAGATTGCTGTGGATATTGGACTGACCTGGGCTACAGAAAATAAAACAAAAAAATAAATCTTGAACTGCTGGACATGTTGGTCTGTGCCTATAGACTTCAACACTTAGGAGGCAGAGGCCGCAGGTCTGAGGCTAGTCCATTCTATACAGTGAGTTCCAGTCAGTCATGGTTACCAAGTGATACCCTGTCTCAAAACACAACAAAAAGAGCCAGTAGTATGGCCCAACAGGAAATGGTGATTTCTACGTAATACTGACTGAGTTTGATCCCTGAAACCTACATAAAGATGTAGAGAAGTGACTCCACAAAGTTGTCCTCTGACCTCCACACATGCCAGTAATAATAAACACAAATTCAAAGCAAAAGCTCAATATTTTGTTTGAATTTCTTTTTGAAACAGGGTAACCTTGACTGGCCAGGAATTACATTTTGTGTGTGTGTGTGTGTGTGTGTGTGTGGTTACAGGTGGTTGTGAGCCACATGGTTTGGGTGCTGGGAACTGAACTCAGGTCTTCTGCAAGAGCAATAAAGTCCCCCTAGACTGCATACTCTCTACAGCCCCTTAAAAAGCTACCTCTAGCCAGGTGTGGTGGTGTATGCTTTTACTCAAGAGGCAGAGGCAGGCGGATCTCTCAGTTCCAGGACAGCCAGGGCTACATGGAGAAACCCTGTCTCAAAACCAAAAAGCTACCTTAACATCGCAGGAAGTAGTATTAGCAAGGTAGGAGGAGGCTGGAGAGAATAATACAAGCAAGAAAACATTAGGTCCACAATCAAATAGAGGAAGAGGAAGTGATACAATTCAGAGAAATGTGGGAAGATTGGAAGCAACCAACCGCAAAGGAAGCCCTAGGCCTTCTCCAGGGCTCTGGAATTTGAATGTCCACAGAGATAAAAATTGCCAATAGGGTTGTTACCTGACTTCTCTGACCCTGACTCACTTTCGCCAGACTTATTTGATTGTCTGACTGTGGGTAGGGGTGCTAGAGTGGGTAATTCTGATGAATGGATCAGATCTAAATGCCTGTTTATAACCTCTAGGTCAGAGATGCCTCCAAAACTGCTGCCACTTATTATATCTCAAGCCCTGGGAGTGGCGCTGGAGCAGAAGGAGCTAGAGCAGGAACCTGGAGCAGGTAGGCGGCCCTTTAATAGGACAGGTCTCAACGACTGGAATTTCATGTAAGTGGCAGTAGGGTGGGGGAAAGAGAAAGGTTCCTGACTGTTTCCTTTGCCCAGGACTTGACAGTAGTCTGATCTGGACTGGTTCCAGCTGCCAGAACCCAGGATGTGATGCTGTGAGTGAGAGATTTGGGGGTCTCAAGCATGTGGCTGAGAGATACCTGAGGGATATCTAGGTATAGGCATGAATTTGAATGACCTGATTCTCCTTTGGCCTTCTTAGGTTTACCAAGGCCCCGAGAGTGATGCTGCTCCGTGTACCTACCACCCAGGGGCACCTCGGTTTCATGAGGGGTAAGAGAAGGTACTGGGCAGGCTTCTTCCAACATGAATGAGAGTAAGGGCTTGGGGGTGGGATTCAAATAAATTACCTTCCTCCCTCAGGATGAAGTCTTGGAGCTGCTGTGGTATCCAGACTCTGGATTTTGGGGCATTCCTGGCACAGCCAGGATGCAGAGTTGGTAGACACGACTGGGCCAAGCAGGTAAGCCCCTCCCTTCCCTAAACACTTGGTTAGGCCCCAATTACAGAGATAAGCTCTCCTAGCACCTCCTGGCCGAGCTCCCTCACTTCTTCCTTTAATCCCAATCAAGATTGTGTTCTTTCTCTCTCCATAGCCGAGTCTTGGCTGTATGAAATAGTATTTTGGAGGTTTCTTGTGTCCTTATCCCCATGAGACTCCTCCTGGATTAAGAGTTGATTGTTGCCATCCTCCTCTCACATCTCTTTAGCTGCCAGCATCTTGTCGCCATGATTGGCACCAAACCGATTCCTTGGTAGTGCTGACTGTGTATGGCCAGATTCCGCTTCCTGCATTCAACTGGGTGAAAGCCAGTCAAACTGAGGTGAGGAGTGATCTGAGGCAGGGTGGGCTGAGTGAACTCTGCTGGTAGTGCAGTTGTACAGGGAGAAAGGCTGCATGCTGTCACTCTTTTTTTTTTTTTCCCAAGACAGGGTTTCTCTGTGTAGTTTTGGTGCCTGTCCTGGAATTCACTCTGTAGACCAGGCTGGCCTCGAACTCACAGAGATCTGCCTGCCTCTGCCATCCGAGTGCTGGGATTAAAGGCCTGTCCCACCCCCACCCCCCCAGTTCATGCCATCACTCTTTAGGTTCCAGAGTCCCCTGAGAAGAATGGAAAGTTCTTAGATCAGGGTTGGCTGGTTGGCCTGTGGATCTTGCCTCTGACTTGGTTCTGGAGTAATGACTTTTTCCGACCTTTTGAAATTGATACTACCTTTCTAACTCTTTCCTCTCAGCTTCATGTCCACATTGTCTTTGATGGTAATCGTGTGTTCCAAGCACAAATGAAGCTCTGGGGGGTAAGTGAAGAGAAGTAGGCAGAGGCAAGGGAGGGACACAGGTAAGAGGAGGGCCAGGCTGAGTCGGTAGAGGGTGTGCTGAAGAGTTGCCATGGGAAAGCAGGAGTTCTCTTGAACTGCTTTGATTCCCTCCTTCCTCTGCTCTCCCTCCCTTCTGTCTGCCTTCCCCATTGCATTTCTGTCTCCCCTTTCTTTTGCTGTTCTTATTCATCACCACTCTAATCCCAAGTCTGTGATTTCTTCATTCTTTCTGTCTTTCCCTCCTCCTTAGGTCATAAACGTGGAGCAGAGCTCTGTCTCCTTGATGCCATCCCGGGTTGAAATCTCCCTGGTCAAGGCTGACCCAGGATCCTGGGCCCAGCTGGAGCACCCCGCTTCACTAGCTGAGAAGGCTAGGGCAGGGGTTTTGTTAGAGATGGATGAGGAAGAATCTGAGGATTCAGATGATGACCTGAGCTGGACAGAGGAGGAGGAGGAGGAAGAGGAGGAAGAAGCTATGGGGGAATAGGAACGGCAGACAGTTGAGTTTCAGGGTAGGCCCTCAGTGACCTCCTTCGAATCTCAGAGACCAGGATATGGTTGACTATATGCTGTCATTGAGCAGCAGGAGGCTGGAGGAGGCGAGAACAGACAAAACTGTCCAGACTGTGCTGCTGCTCCCCTAAATAAACCTGATATTCTACAGTTTCACCGAAGTGTCATCTCTCACCTCATCATGGAAGAGTGCATGCAGCCCCACCCCACCCCACTTGGCTGTGTGTTTGGCACACGTGTGAAAACAAGCACATGCATATGCATTCTGTTCCTCACAGCCACCAGGAACTTATGAGGACTTCTGTGTGTCCAGTTACATATGAGGGGCTTTACAGATAGCTGAGAAACGGGCTTGCTCATTTCTCTCAAGAGAAAGACCTGAGCTGGGCATGGTGGTGCATGCCTGTAATCCTTCCACTTAGCGGGTGAAGACAGATGATCAGGTGTTCTAGGTCATCCTCACCTACATACTGAATTGGAGGCCAACCTGGGCTACATGAAACCTTGTCTTACAGCCCTCCCTCTGAATAAAAGGAACAAAAAGAAAAAAAAAGAAATGACACTCTAAGCTGGGTCTAATGTCTCATCCACTTTGAATCCCAGCACTGCAGAAGCTGAAGCAGGAGGATTGCCATGTTTTTGAGGCCAGCCTGGACTACATAGTGAATTCCAGGCCATCCTGGACTAGACTGATCTCAAAACAGACATTCTAGCTAGGTGTAGTAGGTTGTTCCTACAATTCTAGTAATCAGGAGGCTGAAGCAGGATTGCAAGTACAAGATCAGCCTAGGTTCCATAGCAAGTCCAGAGCAGTCTGGATGACACAATGAGATTCTTGGTGACCTTAGTGCTTTTGCTGTGGTTTACCCCTACTACACATCAGAGTGTGTGTACGAAGAAGACAAAAAAAGTTAGTGGGGTGTGGCTAGATTGAAAAGAATCCTAACATTATAGGTCGTTATTTTTATAGTCTTGCTATGTGACCCAGGCTAGCCTCAAACTTACCATCTTCTTGCCTCAGTCTCCTCACTGCTGCAATTACAGTTGCAAGTCCTCATGCTCAGACCCAAAAAGTGTGGGGTATTTTTCTTTATAGTACTGGGGATACTCTAAACCAGGGCCTGCCATGCTATGCAGGAATTCTACCACTGAGCCACAACTCCTGCTTAAAGGGAACTTAAAAAGGCAATATGGAGACTTGAGAGATGTCACAAAGGCTAACAGTGTGTACTGCTTTTCCAGAGGAGCTGAGATTGATTCCTAGTGTCCCCATCAGGTGTCTCACAGCCACTCCAAGGGCTACAACTCCTGTGGCCTCTGGGCACTTGCACTCACATGCACATACCCACACACAAACGCACACATACATTTTTTAAAATTAAAAAAAAAAAACCCTCCCAGGAAAGGCACAAAGCTACACAGAGAAACCCTGTCTCGAAAAACCAAAAAAAAAAAAAAAAAAAAAAACCCTACACAATTGAGTGATGGAAAAAGTTACAAAAAAACCCCTCAGAAATAAATAAAAGACATTATGGTTAGCTCACTGCATCTGCAGATTCTGCATTCATGGATTCAACAATTGTGAGTTGAAGATATAAAGAAAAATTTGTACTGAATGGTTATAGATTTTTCTTAAATAATAGTATAGAAATCATTTACAAAACATTTACTTGGTACTATAATCTAGAAGTGGATAGTTACAGGATAATATGTTTGGGTTATATGCAAATACTGTGCCTTTTTTTTTTCTGAGACAAGGTTTCTCTGTGTAGTCTAAGCTGTCCTGGAGCTTACTCTGTAGACCAGACTGGCCTTGAACTCACAGAGATTCACCTGCCTCTGCCTCCCAAGTGCTGGGATTAAAGGTGTGCACCACCACCACTTGGCTACAATGCCTTTTTATATAAAGGATTTGAACATCTTCCAAGGTTGGTGCAGGCATGGAGGTTCCTGGATGGACCTCCTGCCCTCCTGCTGACATTAAAGGACAAGGAATGCCTGTATAGACCTTTCTATTTATTTTTATTTTATTGTTCTTATTTTTTGGTTTTGTGATTGAGGCTCTCACTCAGTTGCCCAGGATAACTTAGAACTCATTAGATATAGCTCAGGTTGACCTCAAACTTGGAACAATCCTCCTACCTAGGTTCTGGAATATTGGGGTGACAGGCCTGGACCACCCTCCCCAGCTGAAAGTGTCGACTTGTGATTTATTTTTAGTCTCCGTCAGCAGAACGGTCAATAATCTGAGAAAATCGAGTTCCAGGAAATAGGACTAGAAAGATGGCCCAAGGGGTAAAGACAGTTGCTCCACAAGGCTGCTGCTGTTCTATCCCTAGAACCCATGATAATGATAGAGAGCCAGACCAGGAAAGTCGTCCTCTGATCTCCGCGTGTGTACTGTACCACATGGGTGCCTGCACTCACACACACAGTGTAACACACATACACACACAATAATAATATATTTCCAAGAAACACCCAGCAAGGAAGCTCTTCAAACCTCAGGCAATCTCAAATTCTTTCTTTCTCTTAAGTCCACCCCCATCCTCTCTCTCCTCCCTCTCTTCCTCTCTCCTCTCTCTGTGGTATCATTATGTAGCCCTGACTAGCCTGGAACTTGTGGAGGTCCTCCTGCCACCACACCTGCATCACGCTCTTCAGTTGGTATCTTTTTGGATCAGATTGAGGGTAGCTAGGATGTGATTGGGATCCAGAAGTCAAATGAATTGAGGGAAGAAGTGTGGACTGTAGTGCACATGAGGATTTGGAGGCTGAGGGAAAATTAGGAGATGGCAAGGGATATGTCTCCAAGGATGTGAGTTATACCCACAGAGGAGTTTGATCAAAGGTAGAGATTTCCTGTGTTTATAGAATACGTATCAATTCTCACTGCTCCCATTCTGGATTCATGGGGCAAATAAAGTTTCTCCTTTGAACTAAAGCCTCAAGAGTCCTGTCTTCCTTCCTGCCATCCTCCCTCCTTCCCTTCTTTTTGCTTTCTTTTTCTGGGACAGGGTTTCACTATGTAGCTACTTGAACTGAAACTGAAATTAAATGTAGACCAGGCTAACCTAACTCAGATGTCCACTGCCTCCTGAATGCTGGGATTAAAAAGGTTTGTGCCACCATATTCGGCCAAGAATACTTCCTAAACTTAGAAGCAGTTTACTCTTTAAAAAAATTTTATTACATTCTTTTTTTTAGATGTGCATGGTGCCACATGCCTCTAATCCTAGACTTGGGAAGCAGAGGCAGGTGAATCTCTGAGTTGGAGGCCAGCCTGGTCTCCATAGTAAGTTCTAAGCTAATAAGCAAAGCTACATAATGAGACCCTGTCTCAAAAAAAAAAAAAAACAAACTAAAACATTTGATTACATTTTAATTTATTTTGTGTAGAACTGCATAGGGTGGGGTAGTGTGTGTACTGGTGTGGAGGTCAGAGGACAACTGTAGCAATCAGTTCTCTTCTCCTACCATGGAGATTCCAGGCACTGAACTCCACTGTCAGGCTTGAGAGCTAGAGCCTTTACTCTCTGTGCCATCTTACCCTTCCGACCCGCAATTTACTCTTTTTGTTTTTTTTTTGTTTTTTTGAGACAGGATTTCTCTGTGTAGCTTTGTGCCTTTCCTGGAACTCGCTTTGGAGACCAGGCTGGCCTCGAACTCACAGAGATCCGCCTGATTCTGCCTCCCGAGTGCTGGGATTAAAGGCGTGCGCCACCACCGCCCGGCTTAGTGTTGTTTTCATAGGGAGACTTTCAAACAAAGTTTGAGGTAGAATGACTAGAGAAAGATGCATAATGTGCATTAATCTTAACTGTGTAACATTTTTCTATCTTATCAAAATCAGGATAACAGCAACTGTCCTGAAATCCTGAAGAGAAAGGAGGTAAGGATTAAAAAAAAATCCAGGTAATTCTTATATATAAAGTTTATATATAAAATGCCAAATGTTCAATGTTAACGAAGTATGGTACTAGTTCATTTTATAAAGCCGAAGCCTAAAGTATAAGAAATCTCCAATTGTGTCATCTGCATAGTAAAAATAGTCACACAGCTAGTTATTCTGTGTGAGCATGTGTGTGGATGTATGAGCATGTGTGTGGAGGCCAGAGGTCAACATCAAGAATCTCCCTCAGTTATTCTTCACCTTAATTTTTTAAAGCCATTTTCTGACTGAAACCTATAGTTCATTATTGATTTGGCTAGTCTGACTGGCCAATGAGCTGCAGGGATCCCCTTCTCTCTGCCCTTCCAGTGCTGGGATAGCTTTTTGTTTTATTTATTCTTTTGAGACAAGGTCTGGATGTTCTGGAACTTGCAAAGTAGATCAAGCTGGCCTCGAACTCACAGAGATCCTCCTGCTTCAGCCTCCTGAGTGTAGCTAAAGTTTTCCTGCCTGGCCCACAGTCAGGACAAATCTCTCTCACCTGCCAGTCCCACAGCTGCTCAGACCCGACCAAGTAAACACAGAGACTTATATTGCTTACAAACTGTATGGCCGTGGCAGGCTTCTTGCTAACTGTTCTTACAGCTTAAATTAATCCATTTCCATTAATCTATACCTTGCCACATGGCTCATGGCTTACCGGCATCTTCACATGCTGTTTGTCATCGTGGTGGCTGGCAGTGTCTCTCACTTAGCCTTCTACTTCCCAGCTTTATTCTCCTCCTTGTCCCGCCTATACTTCCTGCCTGGCCACTGGCCAATCAGTGATTTATTTAATTGACCAATCAGAGCAACACATTTGCCACACAGAACATCCCACAGCACCTGAGTGCTGGGGTTAAAGGCGTGTGCCACCATGCCCTGCTTGGAATGGCTTTTATGTGGGTACTAAGGATCAAAACTCAGGTCCTCATACTTGTGCAGCAGACACTTTACCAACCTAACCATGTCCCCAGCCTTATTTTTTATTTTTTTAAAAAGAAAATGTTTTTAGCTCCTAGTTCTAAAAGTTATTCTGTTGCCTCTCCGTGTGTGGAAAGGAGAGCATCAAGACAGAGAGGATGTGGTAGAGAAAAGAGGCTCACTTCCTGGCTGACCAGACGCAAAGATAAATAAGGACTCTCCAACAATTATACCCTTGAGGGCTATGACCCTGTCTCCTACTTGCTCCAACTAGGGCTATCTTGTGCTTTGCATCTCCTGACTATAATGGCATGCATAGGTAAAATTTCTGATACATACAAACTAACATGCCAGGCCTCATGCTCATTTCAACTCCTCATCTCCTTCTCTGAGGTCTACATTTGCTCACAGTAACACAAATCCCCCCCCCACCTCCTTTTACACTTCTTTTTATGAATAAAGTGTTTGTTAGGGTTTTTAGTTTGGGCCAGTGTGTAGACTGAACCCTGGGCTTTGCATATGCTAGGAAAGTACTTTACTGCCAAGCTACATGCCTAGGCCTTACACTTCGTTCTCACCATTATACTTTGTATCTGATCTGATCCCCTTTCACCTTTCTGGAAGCCTTATGGTACTATCTGTTTAGTCAGCCTTCCCCTCTTGTTGGGATGTCTAAACATGGCAAGTCTCTCCAGTCTTCAAAAGTTTCTCTTGACTTCATACCCCTCTCTAGCTACTACTTAACTCCCTTCTCTTTCTTCTGGAATTAACTGTATTCTCTTTCCATTTCCCTTTTCTTTTGTGGTGCTGGGGATCATGCTAGGGCTAAGTGTGACTACCAAGGAGCTACATCCTGAGCCCTGTGCTACCCCCCACCTTCTTTCGTGTCTTTCTTTGGTTTTTGTTTGTTTGTTTGTTTGTTTGTTTTGTTTTGTTTTTGAGGCAGGGTCTCATGTAGCTCAGGTTGGTTTCAAACTTACTATATATGTAGCTGAGGCAAAGTAGACCTTGAACTTCTGATCCTCCTGCCTCCACCTCCCAAGTGCTAGGATTACAGATGTTTGTCACTATGCCTGGCTGCTTGTTTGCTCCCATTCTGTACATTCTAATCTGGCCTCCAAACCTCAGTTTATAATAAGGTCATAATTGACCACCAAATCCAATGGATATGCATGTAATCCTCATCTTCCTTGACCTGTGAAGTACAATGTGACACAAGATTGTTTCTTCCTTGCAACACCATTCATACACAGGCTTCCCAGGCCCGTTCTGCATTGTTTTCCTCTCACTCCAGCCACTCCTGCTCAGCTTCTCTTTGTCTACCTGGCTCTTCAATCCTAACTTGTCTCTTATGTGACTCCTCTTCCAGACATGCAGTTTGCCTATGACTTCCAACATCTCATGTAGAACATTCGCTCACCTTTTTATCTCTGGCCCACATCTTCCTTTGTAGTCCAGATTTAATAATCGTCATGTAAATATTTAGTATTACTCTTACTAATCTATCCTTTCTATTCACTAAGATTTTTTTCTGATT